CCACAAGCAAGCAGCACAAGCATCAGCATATTTGCCTTACTTACCCCACCCTCCCTTATCCTCAAGTCTCATTGGAACAATGCAACAGGCCCAGATGCATATAACACACACCATGTGTCTGTGTCACAGCTGTGGAACCCTGAGTTGGGGGAATCCACTGCTTTTATAGCAAGATATAAGCAAGCCTTCTCTATGTCCAGGGGAACAATGTTATTTCATCTCTCAGAATTAGCAGCTGCATAAACAACCCTGAGAAATGGCAAAGGGGAAAGAATAGCCGAGGCCTTGTGGTCTTGGTCCACCCAGCAAGAGGTAAACTAAGGCACACACGCGACCAGGGAGGATTGTCCCCCAATCGAGATCCAAGCTCTACAATTTGCCAGCTGAGATTTGTGGCAAGTTTCTTTACTTGTGAAAGGCTCATTTTTCTTATATGCGTGATAGTGAAAATATTAATTCTCTTGAGCTTGAAATAATGTATGTAAAGCACCCAGCATAGTGCCAGGCACATAATAGGCACTAAAGTTGTTAATTTTATTTTTCTAACAAGAAAGCAAAACAAAGCAAAACAAAACAAAACACCCCAAATCAAACAAAACACTAAAACACAAAACCAAAGGAATAGCTTAAATTCTGGTATTTTCCAGGATCCACAAATTAGCCCTGCAAAGACTCTTGCAAGTTGCTAATCTAGCTAAGCCTCAGTTTTATCACTTGGGGATAGTAATATCCTCATCACAAGGAAACAGAAACACATCATAGACAGTTAAATCTTATCTACTGCTTACTTTACTAATATGAGTAATACATACTACTACCATCAATTTTTCTACTTATATTACAGAAGTATTATATTAAAAATCAAATAACAAGAAAAAAGTTTATGTCAAAAAATGCTATCTGTACACAGTGACTTTTCTAAGATCATAATGCAATTTTAGCTTTTATTGAAGCTAAATATAATCACTCTGAAATTCAGTTGTGACAAGAATTAGGGCGGACCAGGTGGCTCAGTTGGTTAGAGCATGAGCTCTGAGCAACAGGGTCTCCGGTTCAATTCCCACATGGGCCAGTGAGGTGTGCCCGAGCTGAGCTGCCGCTGAGCTGCCAAGAGGCAGCCGGATGGCTAGTTGGTGAGAGTGAGTGCTGTTAACAACAAGGTTGCCGGTTCAACTCCCGCATGGGATGCCCCCCGCCCCCCCCCCAACTAGATTGAAAGTGGCAACTGGACTTGGAGCCGAGCTGCACCCTCCACAACTAGAATGAAGTACAATGACTTGAGTTGGAGCTGATGGGTCCTGGAAAGACACAATGTTCCCCTTCTCCAATTCCCAAATCAAATCTTAAAAAAAAAAAAGAATTAAAGTTTACTTGTACAATAATTTATAAATTTTTTGAACACTGATAGGCATTAATTTCTAAATAGAAAAAGCAAACTTATTTTAAAAGATGCTTTTAAAGATGCTGTTTATTCAAAGGAAATCAATTTGTAATGCCAGAAAATCTGTGTGCGATTTTGTATATTTTCCTGAAGAGGCTATAGTTTATATCAGCTTCCTAAAGGGAGCACCAACCAAGCTGAGGTTGCATTGGTGATGGGTTGATACGCTTTATGATGTCTCTACAATCAGATGACAAAGCTTCAAATTAGAACACTTCTAATCTCTCTTCTTGTGTTTCCACGATCTATCTCTCTTGAGGTGTATTTACTCCTTGTAGAATCCTTCATAATAAAATACCAGATAACTCAGGTAAATATATTTAAAAAATGGGGAAATTCCCTGTATTTTCTAAAGTTTAATTACTTTCTCTTATTTCTTTTGGGAGAATTATTTGTGTATATTTTACTTTAATAACAGTGGATGAAATGTTCTAATAGTAGATGAAATGTTCATTTATTGTGTTATAAAAACAGAAAATATTTACAGAACCCATTTTCACGAAAAATGTCCCACTGCCTTTGAAAGCAATATACTTAAAAATTAAGAGCATATAATCCAGAGCTAGACCCCCAGGGTTCAGCTCTACCAATTTCTGCTTTGTAATGTAAGGTGAGTTAACCTCTCAATTTCCTAATCGCTAAAATGGGGATAATATAGTTTACCTGTCTTATAAATTTGTAGTAAGATATATATCCAAAAAAATGTATACACATTTTAAGAGGAAAAGGCTGTATTAATCGTAATACTCAATATATACTGATAACAAAAGATGATTACAAGTTATGTTTGACTTCTGCAGAGGTGCTCAAAGTGGTTACCATAAGCATCCAGACACTTCTCATATGGTGAACTACTGCTTGAGCATAGATAACATCTCTTAAAATGAGCATATGTTTATTTGGTACCCCTGGTGTGTGT